CTTTTTAACCGATTGCAGTTTCAATTCATATGTGGGAAAATTGATACAGTAAAGGCTTCGTAATATAAATGTCCCGCGTAAGACTCCTGTTGTTTTTATAATATAATATAATATGATATAATATGATATGATATAATATAATAAAATATAATATAATATATTATAATATGCTTTTTTCTTAGATGAACTTGTATACAGACAATTTCCGGTTTGGATAAAACTTAGCCAGATCATTTCCGTTGATATTGAGCTAGGTCTGTTAGAGCGATAGTATAACAATCTGAAGTATATGGTTCGCCTACCGGACTCATCCGTCAGAATTTTTAAAATTGATTACATTTTGTTTTTTGCGTCTTTATTACTTTTTCATAAATATCCCGAAAAGTATGGCTGTTTTCGTTGTAAAAACGATTCATTAACGCTATAGTCGTGCCGGAAAAGAGTTTCTAGAGTGACGTTCCAGCTCTTTGTCAGTGGAACGGGGTTCCTTAAGAACAAGGCAGTTGTTTTAGAGTTAATTAAATGGCACACGATGTAATAGGAGTCCTTTGAAATATTTAAGGGGTTTTGGTATTATTTTTCAGGTTTATCAAATTTATGGGATTGGATGGAAAATAGATATTGAGTTCATCAAAGGTTTTGTAACAGTGTCATGTTGTAATTAACGAGCGTGGCAGAACATCGATACGCTATTACCTGTACGTACAGGACGTACATGCTAACTTCACGTGTACACGTATGTGGGTCAAGGTTATGTAAGGACTTAGAATTTCTGAGCTTTACGAAAATATGGACAGAAATGAATTCAGAAACGTATCATATAAATGTCCTTGTCTAAAAGCGATTGAGTGTCATAAATCAAAATAAGACATGAAACACAGTTTATTGTTATACTGTTACATGTACGAAGAGAGGGACCGAGAATAGCGTATATTTTGAGGTAAGGAGGGACCGAGAATAGCGTATATTGTGAGGTAAGGAGGGACCGAGAATAGCGTATATTGTGAGGTAGGGAGGGACAGGGAATAGCGTATATTGTGAGGTAGGGAGGGACAGGGAATAGCGTATATTGTGAGGTAGGGAGGGACAGGGAATAGCGTATATTGTAACGTAGGGAGGGACAGGGAATAGCGTATATTGTGAGGTAGGGAGGGACAGGGAATAGCGTATATTGTGAGGTAGGGAGGGACAGGGAATAGCGTATATTGTGAGGTAGGGAGGGACAGGGAATAGCGTATATTGTAACGTAGGATAGCGTTTATTGTAAAGTAGGAAGGGGCATAGAATAGCGTTTATTGTAACGTAGGGAGGGGCATAGAATAGCGTTTTTAGTAACGTTGGAAGGGGCATAGCATGGCGTTTATTGTAACATGTGAAGGGGCATAGAATAGCGTTTATTGTAACGTAGGGATGAGCATAGAATATCGTTTATTGTAACGTAGGGAGGGACATAGAATAGCGTTTTTTGTAACGTTGGAAGGGGCATAGCATGGCGTTTATTGTAACATGTGAAGGGGCATAGAATAGCGTTTATTGTAACGTAGGGATGAGCATAGAATATCGTTTATTGTAACGTAGGGAGGGACATAGAATAGCGTTTATTGTAACGAAGGAAGGGGCATAGAATATCGTTTATTGTAACGTAGTGAGCTGCATAGAATATCGTTTATTGTAACGAAGGAAGGGGCATAGAATAGCGTTTATTGTAACGTAGTGAAGGGCATAGAATAGCGTTTATTGTAACGTAGTGAGGGGCATAGAATAGCGTTTATTGTAACGTAGTGAGGGGCATAAAATAGCGTTGATTGTAAAGTAGGAAGGGGCATAGAATAGCGTTTGTTGTAACGTAGAAAAGGGCATAGCATAGCGTTTATTGTAACGTAGGGAGGGACATAAAATAGCGTTTATTGTAACGTAGGGAGGGGCATAGAATATCGTTTATGGTAACGAAGGAAGGGGCATAGAATAGCGTTTATTGTAACGTAGAAAAGGGCATATCATAGCGTTTATTGTAACGTAGGGAGGGACATAAAATAGCGTTTATTGTAAAGTAGGAAGGGGCATAGAATAGCGTTTGTTGTAAAGTAGGAAGGGGCATAGAATAGCGTTTGTTGTAATATAAAGAGGGACAGAATAGTGTTATTGTAACGTAGGGATGGGCATAGAATAGCGTTTATTGTAACGTAGGGAGGGACACAGAATAGCATTTAATATTACGTAGGGAGGGACATAGAAAAGTGTATATTGTAATGTAGGGAGGGACATACAGTAGAACAGCGTTTATTATAACGTAATGAGGGACATAAAATAACGTTTATTATAACGTAGGGAGGGACATATAATAGCGTTCAATGTTATGTAGGGAGAGACCTAGAATAGCGTGTCATGTTATGTAGGGAGGGACATAGAATAACGTGTTTTGATCCATAGGGAGAGTCATAGAATAGCGTTTATTGTAAAGTAGAGAGAGTCATAGAATAGTGTTTATTGTAATGTAGGGAGGGACATAGAATAGCGTATATTGTTACATAAGGAGGTACGTAGAATAGCGTTTATTGTAAAGAAGGGAGGGACATAAAATAGCGTCTGTTGTAAGATAGGGAGGGGCATAGAAAAGCGTGTATTGTAAGATAGAGAGGGGCATAGAAAAGCGTGTATTGTAAGAAAGAGAGGGGCATAGAATAGCGTTTAATGTTACGTAGGAAGGGACATAGAATAGCATCATTGTGTGGTAGGGAGGAACATAGAATAGCGTTTATTATTACGTAGGGAGGGGCATAGAATAGTGTGTCATATTATGTATGGTAGGACATATAATAACGTCTGTTGTAAGATAGGGAGGGGCATAGAATAGCGTTTATTGTAAGATAGAGAGGGGCATAGAATAGTGTTTCATATTATGTAGAGAGGGACACAGAATAGCATGTTTTGTTCCATAGGGAGGGACATATACTAGCGTGTTTTGTTCCAAAGGGAGGGACATAGAATAGCGCTTATTGTAAAGTAGGGAGAAACATATAATAATGTTTATTGTAATGTAGGGAGGGACATAGAATAGCGTGTATTGTTAGAAAGAGAGGGGCATAGAATAGCGTATATTGTCACGTAGGGAGGGACATATAATAGCGTGTCATGTTATGTAGGGAGGGACATATAATAGCGTATATTGTCACGTAGGGAGGGGCATAGAACAGCGTATATTGTGACGTAGGGAGGGACAACGCACAGCGTATATTGTTACGCAGGGAGGGGGATTGATGATAAAATATTTTATAATTGCCAATTCGTTTTACATCTCGCGAAATTATACGTAGGTGTTCAGAAAAAACGGGAACACAAGTGTTTAAGCAATACACCAATTAACGTGTTCCGAGAAAACAGAAAAACAGAACCAAAAAGAACCACATGTGAAACGGCAAATAGAGTAAGCGTGTTCAGCTAAAAAGTGACTGCTGTGTTCAGACCAAAGAAAAAGCTGTGTTCAGACCAAAGAAAAGCACAAACGTTCTGACAAAACAGAGAAAAAATGCAAGAAAATAAGATTTCATAAAAAACACGTGCGTTTAGACAGAGGTGACACACGTATTCGATCATAAAGGAAACATGTTTATACGAAATTAAAGCTAATGTGTCGAGATAAAAAATATAACTCACGTTTTGAACGTGAAATACACGTTTTCAGGTGAAATCACTACCATTGCTTCACAAACCAAACACATGTAACCAGACACATAACACATGTATCCAGATACAAAGATAAACACATGTATCCAGACACATAACACAGTTATCCAGACACATAACACATGTATCCAGACACATAACACAGGTATCCAGACACATAACACATGTATCCAGACACATAACACATGTATCCAGACACATAACACATGTATCCAGACACATAACACATGTGTCCAGACACATAACACATGTATCCAGACACATAACACATGTATCCAGACACATAACACATGTATCCAGACACATAACACATGTATCCAGACACATAACACATGTATCCAGACACATAACACATGTATCCAGACACATAACACATGTATCCAGACACATAACACATGTATCCAGACACATAACACATGTATCCAGACACATAACACATGTATCCAGACACATAACACATGTATCCAGACACATAACACATGTATCCAGACACATAACACATGTATCCAGACACATAACACATGTATCCAGACACATAACACATGTATCCAGACACATAACACATGTATCCAGACACATAACACATGTATCCAGACACATAACACATGTATCCAGACACATAACACATGTATCCAGACACATAACACATGTATCCAGACACATAACACATGTATCCAGACACATAACACATGTATCCAGACACATAACACATGTATCCAGACACATAACACATGTATCCAGACACATAACACATGTATCCAGACACATAACACATGTATCCAGACACATAACACATGTATCCAGATACAAAGATAAACACATGTATCCAGACACATAACACATGTATCCAGACGCATAACACATGTATCCAGACACATAACACATGTATCCAGACACAAAGATAAAAACATGTAGCCAGACACATAACACATGTATCCAGACACATAACACATGTATCCAGACACATAACACATGTATCCAGATACATAACACATGTATCGAGACACAAAGATAAACACATGTATCCAGACACATAACACATGTATCCAGACACATAACAAATGTGTCCAGACACATAACACATGTATCCAGACACATAACAAATGTAACCAGACACATAACACATGTATCCAGACACAAAGATAAACTGATGAGTCAGTAAATCAAGCAGAAACACAAGTGATCAGACCAGAGACAAACGAACCGTTCAAACAAAAAGGAATTACGCATGTTGTATCAAAAAAGAAATTCATGTGTGAAACAGAGACGCTTAACCTAGCGTACACACGCAGGCCGTACTGTGCCCCGGAAGAGACAGCGGGCGTACTTGGGGCGCTATGATACTCTAGTGGGGATTATATTCTGTGGCGCTATACGTGGGGAGGTAGGATGTGATGTAACAATGTCGGTACGAGAGTATTACGGGGCCTGTCAATATTGTGTTTTTGTTGTCTACCTGTGAGGAACAGCTTGTGAGGGATACGTGAAAAAAATCCGGGATAACAACACTACCGTTATGGACTTACGTTTAACGTTTGTCTTTATCATCTCCTGGAAGTTCACACGGGGTAAGTATCATACAGTATTAAGCATTACTTTTGCCTTCTTGGCGATCTCTAATAGCCAATCAGATCAAGTCTCTCGATTGTGACGTCCTTTATAATCTATATGACCCAGGTGGGTCAAACCTACTAACCTGAATTACTTATTCAGACAATTTTTTTCTACCACATTATTTAGCCAATTTTAAAATATTTGATTAATAACCTATCATGATAGCATGGATGGTCGGGTGGCGCAGTGGATAGCGCAGTTTAATTTCCTGAACGGACGTGAAAATATAAATAAAGTTTACATTATTATTAATGGTCAAGCGGACTCGCGCAAATTTTACGTTCTAATGACTTAAGGCCTTTAACTGAGTATGATTTACTAACCAATCTGACCATTAGTTTAACTGTTTCGGCACAAGAAAAAGAAAAATGACAATGCTTATAGTATGGCAACCTTAAAATCGTCAAATCGCCAATTCGTTGTCCGAGGTTGCAAATACTGATTACCTTTCACGATCCCTATTTTAATTCAGAACATCTCATGCTTTATCAATTTAATTTGTCCTATAATCTAGAGAGCAGTTACACATTACTTACAAATATAAAATCATCCACTTCCGGTCTGGAAAAGACTGCATAGGACGTCGATTAGCGAATCCCGGGAAAATTTATGAGAAGCGGTGATAAAAAATATTACAAAATATAGCAAACGATGCACTGACACTAGCTAAACCCAAATAAAATCGATAACAGACATACGCTTGAAATGAACTAATTAACAAGATAACGAATCGTATTGTAAGATTCATGATACAGCTGTTCGTTATCGTCATGGCAACCAGCAGATTAGGATTACTGACCCGGCACCAAGGTCAAAGTTCAACTAAGATACGACTAGGGCTACCGATCCGGCATTCGGGGCAAAGGTCAATTTAGATACGATCAGGACTACCAACCCGGCTCTCGGGTTGAAGGTCCCGTTCAAACAGATACTAAATGTTTTAACGCAAGACATCTTTATGTCAATCTGGTAAATTACTTAACACTTAAGTTCCTACCGACTCTATCACATATGAGCGCCCCCTATCGGAGGTAGTGAAAACTAATTACACCTGTTTCACGTCAATCTACAGCACCAACACGCGAATGTTTTAGTTTAAACATATTGTATTGCCAAGCAAATGGATTGGGCACAATCTATTAAACTTATATTAAGCCCTTTCCCAGCAAATTACAAGCATATATTTACAATAGTACAATATGGCAGACTTAAGTAATATACATATATACACTATTTCATTTGTAAATGCTTTTAATTTAGTTAAATTCCTTAAACATATTCTGTTGACATCATAATCCATCACAATATCAATTTTTTTTCAAAACATGCTTGAACTTTGTGAAAATTTGTTAAGTAGAACGTGCCGTATGGAGATATGACCGCCACGATAAGTATAGTATCATAGCTGGCATTAATAAACACATAATAAACTTTATCGGATGAGGTCAAGCTTGGTTTGAAAAAGTTATGTTTAATATCATAATGTCATAATTTATACTAGAAAGTCCTATTTCATAATATGACAATGATTATCATAATGTCATATTTGATATTGTAATGACACTATTACAATGTTTTACTTAATATCATAATATGACTGATTATTACAATGTCATAAATATTGTTATAACATGACACTGATTATCATAATGTCATACAATAGAATGTAATACCCTAATTTTTACTACAAATTGCATTATGATTCCTTTTGTATACGTTACATTATAATACAATGCTTTACATAACAATACAATGAACTAATAGACACGTGTTTATAGGGTATATTAGTGATGTACACGTCCATGTGTTTTGCATTAAATGCTCTGCTGCATGAATTGAATTTAACGCACTGAGATAACTGTCTCAACTACACACAGGGAGACGACATTTTCCGTAAACATAGATTTAAAATATTATTGTAAACAAACGTATGGACCATCTTATAAAGGTGAGTTATTGAGGACGTTGATACGTTGAATTACACAGACTGTTGCCCTGCACAAGTAAATGTTTAATTCACATTTTAATTCAGTAACATCGTCCAGCTCTTCCGTTAACACAGTTCGTATAAGTTCAGCCTAATATCAATTACAAGTTAATTCCGCACAGTTCCAATTTTTTTTTTCGAAATAATTTGTTCACACCTGCGAGGCGTTACGAACACATAATTAGATTAGAGAGACGTGACAATCTGGTAGAGGAATATTTGAGTTCGTTACGGACACATAATTAGATTAGAGAGACGTGGCAATCTGGTAGAGGAATATTAGAGGCGTTACGAACACATAATTAGATTAGTGAGACGTGGCAATCTAACAGAGGAATATAGAGGCGTTACGAACACATAATTAGATTAGAGAGACGTGGCAATCTAACAGAGGAATATAGAGGCGTTACGAACACATAATTAGATTAGAGAGACGTGACAATCCGGTAGAGGAATATTAGAGGCGTTACGAACACATAATAATATTAGAGAGACGTGACAATCTGGTAGAGGAATATAGAGGCGTTACGAACACATAATTAGAGAGACGTGACAATCTACCATTTCGAACACAAGTGGAAAATAAGGAATTAGGGATTTGCATCTGTCCACACACAAAAAATCGAAATAATTTGTCTGCTCCTTTTGCAACAATAGATATCTTTATATTTTCTCTCTACTTCCGAACACATTTTTCTTTCCTGATGCCTTCCTTGGCAATGCCTCACTTTTGGCCACAGTGTTGAACGTTCGCCCAAGTGAAGAAGGTACCGGGTTCTGTTTCCAGGCTGGGACAATAAAAAGAGTTTTTATTTCCCGTTAAACGTGTAGTAATTAAAGGTTTTAAACAACAGCTTGTTTATCGGTTGTCAGGATACAATGTGATATTCAGTGCGTGTTGCCTTCGGCATAGTATTTCAGTCAGGTAGTACGATAAAGTCGGCATCAGATCCGCGCTATCACAAGGAGGCAAATACATCAACATACCCTGCCACCAACACACATGCACGCATACGTGACACAAAAATGGAGGCACGTCCTTAAATGACCTTATATTTACATTTGCATGGCATTGTCACTATATAGCCTCTTTGAAAGCTGTGTCGTTGATGGGACTTTAATTACCATGCATCACGAGACACAATTCTTAGCGTATTAATACAACACTGACCGGAACTACAATATTCAATATAATTAAACATGACGGCTGCTGAAATATCGCTGGGCATTGTGAGATTTGACAATGTCATTGTAAATTTATGTGCAAAATAAAAAATAAAATAAAAAACACTTTTATTACAACGAAAACAAGACCAAGGTCTGCAATATCGTACAAAATGCACATCGGTTGAAATCACCAATGCCGGCAATGGAAACAATTTTAACGCTCATGCAATTTATCAGAAATATCGTCTGTTACACTGCACTGATCAACAGGGGTTCGTTACAAATGTCTGAAATACACATATTCTATAGACCTACTGACACATATGTTACAGACCTACTGATATGAGTCACAGCACACATAAACATTTCAGACATTTGTAACGAACCTGTGCTCCGTCGCAAGATCACTCACTTCAAACGCTATCAGTTTCACGCGTCTCGCATCCACGGTTCCTCAGTTTCTGACGACATGTCAAATAACGAGGCTGTTATAGAATCTACCGACTGTTGTCAGGTTCCCATACAATCAACAAATAAATTCACGCCTGGATTCTTCACAAAATGAGCAAAGAGAAAAGTTCGAATTAACTTCCAAAAATAACTCCCTCGTGGAGGGCAAGGTCGGATTTACGGTGTTCACTGTATTTGTCCATGCGCGAAATTTGTTCCGGGGAAAAATCGAAACAATTTCAAATCTAACTTTCAGCTCAGAGTTCTATTGATAAACTTAAATCACCCTATAGACATATCATACGCAATTGTATTGATACTGAATTGTGGAATAAAATTGAATTGTTTGTTAAAATTTCAAAGTACTACTTTGTTTGCCAATCAGCACGCGACAATACGCTGTTCAAACTATTGAACGAAATTGTGTGGACTGTCGATAAGGCGGGCATTTTTAATTTTAAATATAAATTATAAATGAAAAAAGAACATGTATGGTATTTATGATCTATTTGAATGACACAGCTTTGCAAGCAAACAACATAATGCGCGCTAAATGCTTAAATAAATTAACTTAATTTTTTTCTAAACAGAATCATGTCTGCCTTTCTGCTATGATAGTGTGAAATGCCAGGGACGTATAGTGAAATATACTGTCCCTGGAAATGCCAAACAAAATTATTTCTAAATTTAACCAGGGACAGTACTATACGTCCCTGATTTAACGCAACATTCAAATTATTAAAATTTTGAACCAGAATACGTCTTTCGTTTGTAAAAAAAGGTGACATTCCAAAAATTAGTGAAAGACATTCTCACCACTCTGCTCCTTGATTTATCCAGGATATGATACACACAACATAACCAAAAACCAAACCAGAGCCTCCTTGTACTATAAACGGAAGCGAGCTTATATTGATTATCGATTTTGTTTATAAATAATTTCGTTTTGAATCTCTGATTATCTGTTATCTTCACCGGAGACAATAGGACACCTCAACTTAGAGGGCTTTTCTCGTTGATCAATATTTCTGCTCGATATGTAGCCAGAATCAGAAACATTTTCAAATATTGTTTGTCAAAGGTTATTTTTATTTTTAACTACATACCAATCCATTACCCCCTTCCCTATTCCCGGTGGGGGTGGGGTGGGGGTGGGGGAAGAAACCCCCCACCCTATGAATTTCGTTTAAAAATAATCCTAGGGTGGGGGGTTTCTTTAAGCCCCAAACAAACCCCTGGATCCGCCACTGTTAACGTATAGCCAAATATATGAATAAAACAAGGGTTAAACCAATATTTACATGTACAATAACATCGCCCTTTTACTTTTTAAAAATATAATCCAAGTTA